ATAGAAAATTCACAGTTGGTTATGTGTTTATGCTAGGTGGTGCACTAGTTGCTTGAAGTTCTAGAAAGGAGCCAGTAGTGGCATTGTCGTCGTGCAAAGTAGAATACCTACCTGCTTCTCTCTATGCATGTCAAACAAAGTGGATGGTGAACCTGGTCGAAGAGATTCGATCGAAGAGTCATGGAGCAATTACCATGAAGATCGACAACATGTCAGCTATCAACCTGGCGAAGAATCTGATAGCACATTGGCAAAGCAAGCACTTCGAAATGAAATTCCATTATCTTTTAGAGCAGGTAGCAGAAGGGAAGATGAACTTATAACACTGTAGAACTGAGAATTAGATTGCAGATATCATGACGAAAGGAGTGCAAGTCGAAGTGTTCAAGAAGCTAAGGTCTATGATGAATATAGACAGCTTAGACATAGTGAATTAGGTGGTGTATTGATTGTAATTCATTGTTTCGAAGAAAGTGTAGCTCAACAGAAACAAATATGTGTCAAAATTAGTTTTGTGTGTGTGTGTGTCGAGTTGTGTTAGATGTCAAAGTGTCGAAGTAGGTCGCTTGACACAAGATTTTGACTTAGACCAAAATAGAAACTTTAGGCTTTTGTATTTTTGGGCTTTACCTTAGGGAGTAAGGTAGCTCAATTATAAATAAAGGGAGTAACCCCTATTTTGAGTAAGAAGAATAGAGAATAATATTGTAACACACAATAGAAAGTGTTGTTGTACAATTGAATAATATTTTCTCAGTTTGAGAGCAGAGAGTTATTCTGCATAAATCATTCTCCTCTTCCCTTATTTTGTTAAACCCTAATCTTCTTTCTTTCTTCTTCCATTAACAATTGTTGCGCAAAATCATTCTTGCAATTAAGGTGTGATTGTTTCACTTGAGTGAAGGATAAAGAACAACGGATTTTAATCAGGTTGATTGAATCTTTTTCATCAAGATTGATTCAGAATTCTCAAAGTTTTGGGTTAATTCCAACATCTGATGTGTCTCTCACAAAGGTGTTGCTCTCAAAAGGAAGTTTCACAATGTTAATGCTCCCTAGTTGAAAAACTTCCCCAATATGCATGATACATAGCCTCACAAGATCCCCCATATGAACATCAGGGTCAACCTAATCAACCCAGAGGCCCCGTTCTAATTAAAAAAAGTCAGCTCAAATTTTAAAAAAAATACAATTATAATAATTAAAAATGTCACATAAAAAATATAATTATATATTAATAAAAAATAAGTTTAATTATTAATATTTTGACTTTTGATAACTTTGTTTTTTATGTATTGAGTTTTTATCATAACATTTTTTTATTTATAAGCTTTTTATTATAATATTTTTTATTTTCATTAGTATTAATGAAAAAAATTGGACCTTTCAAATTTTTGGCCCCTGTGTTGTAGAGCTTGTTGCTCCTACACATGATCGACCCTTATGAACAGGACTACAAACACCATTGTGAGCTTCTTCTATTAGGAGATGAATAACAATGTACCTGAACTTGAAATTAGTTAGAGAATTAGTGACGATTTCAACAAATTTTGACGAAAACTTTTAAAGAAATATGCCTTTGATGGTCATTTTATTCAACAACCTCCAAAACCAAAGAGAAAATATTGAAAAAGAAAGATATGTGTGTGAGATTTTCCAAGTAGTTGCAGATAACTTGGATGACCTAGATAAAGCCCAAACAATTGAAATGTTAGAAATAGAAAGAGTGCCCACAACTAGACGTCCACCCTCCCTCCTAATTCATGAAAGGAAGATAGAGGGATAAGTCAATTGATTTTGAATAAATGAAGGGTATCCTTAGGTAATTCATAATGTAACTCCTAGAGTCTACGACAAGTCAACAAATAAGGTACTTAATGTCTTGACCATATTCTATCTTTCAACATAAATATACAGTATGAGTCAAAGAAAAATATATTTTCTACCCACTTCCTCACATCACGTTAAAGGTTCGAAGACCGCTTTATCCTCATATCTTTAAACCTAGAAAACAATAAGAGGAATATTTTTCAATTTTTATATATGAACATTTTCACTATCTCTCGGATTGAATGGGAGGAGAAAAAATTTGGGCCACCTCCACCTGAGGTGGTACCTCGACTAATGTGTATGGTTCCTCCACTCAAGAAGGAGACATCACCCCACATGCATACATAATACATTCATGAAGGGAGTAGCAATTCAAAAAAGAATGAGAAAAAAACAAAATTAGTTTAAACTTACTAGTAGATGAAGATAATAAGGTAGAAGTTGTTGTGAGATAAAATCTTGAAGAAGTAGAAATAATGATGTTTTAGCCTTTAAGTAGAAATTTGAGAAATCAGAGAAGGTGAAATGAAAAGAGTGGAAAAGAACAGTCCCAAACCTTTAAATACACGCTTAACTAATTCAAGAAAATAAAAAGCCTATGAATCCAATGATTATCAACCAAAGCTCTAAGAGACAACAAACAAACTAATGTCTAAACGTCATGTCTTTTAAAATGTCTAGTTCCTCGTTAAAACCATAATCATATTTGTGATTTATGTAAAAGAAATTAGGTCATGCCTCAACATATAGAATTCTCCTCTAAGGATGTGATCCACATGGATAAGAGAAAAAAAGGAAACATGTCATAATAAGTCTTATCACTCATTGGTAATGGTCACAATCAATCGTGATTGAAGGTTTTGACATGACACATGTAGTTCTTTAAATTTTTTAAATATAAAACACATGACATCTAGTGAACCTACCTTAGGATTTCCTATCGAAGTCACCTCACCATATCCAATCAAAGGTTATAATAGCAACCACCATCTAGGGAAAGTCACCTCACCATATCCCATCAAGGGTTATAGTAGCAACCACAATCTAGGAAAAGGCGATTTGACTTGAAGAGTCTTACAACAAAGTTATAACTTGGCCATCTCAAGATTTAATTGGCAAAAAATCAAGTCACCCAAGTCTCAGACAGTAAAACGAATTAAGAGACAGACACATTTTAAAAGCACAATAGACCAGAAATGATCGACCATTATAGACTGCCAAATAAAAAAAGTTTCTAGGATCCTTTGACATATATTCCGGAGACAATTGTCCTTAAACAAGAGTTTAGAACCTCTATTTCATAAAATTTAATTATAGAGTCTAAATAACAGCTCATACTCAGATAAACAATCTTCTATTTTAAATCCCACACTTATAATTGTCATTGACTTGATCGTCAGAGTATTTGCAAATGCAGATAAACTTCATCACCTGACATATTCACAAAGGATTTCCTAATAAATCACAAATAAATTAGTTTCATTTTTAGTTAACATTCAATTTATTTTGTTCATTTGTCAAATGAGTCGGTGGGCATAATATTAATGGTCCCTAAAAAATGTGAAGAATACTTATTGAGGAATTCATCCTCTTAAATAGATCTAACTATCTCTAATGATTAATCTCCAACTTCCAACCTAATGATACATTTGGCAACAAACTAAACAAAACAATGGTCATGTTCCTCCTAGGTTGAATGTATCTTCTATTATTATTATTATTATTATTATTATTATTATTATTATTATTATTATTATTATTATTATTATTATTATATGATTCAAAAACATTAGCTCCTTGTTTTGTTGCATTCTTGCATCTCCCTCATGCCCCTTTAAGCATCTTTCCTTGATTTTCACGCCCATGCTTTCGGTTACATCTTTGTTACGTATACTTCTTCTATTGGTCCTCTAAAATTTTGTTAACAAATGAAATACATGGTTCCAACTTGATCTTTATTATTATTATTATTATTATTATTATTATTATTATGGTATTGATTTTTTTTAGAATAGAACATGATTGTGAAAGATATCAAGGCCCACAAACATTGTATGAAAGATTGAAATTAACTACAATCACTTTCACGTTTAAAATCTTGGAATGGTATTGGTGTATTATATTAAAGAAAAAGGTTCTTTTTAGATATTTGTTGTTGAATGATGTAACCTAATCCAACCTAACCAACCAACCAAATTCTTATATCATTATGCAAAGGAAAAAAAATGTAAAATATCTTCATTTTTTTTCTTTTGTTGGTAAAAGAAATATCTTGTGTAAGACTTTTTTTTTTCTCTCTCTTAAAAATATTATTTTTCAAGTGTTTCGATATTTTATGTAAGACTTTTTTGTTTTCTCTCTTAAAAGTATTATTTTTTAAGTGTTTCGAGTGAAAGTGTCTCTGATGTCTAATACAACATCAACACATTTAATTATATTTAGTTATTTATTTCTTTTTAAAAGTTTGAATTGTATCTGATGTCTGTATTGGTGATACATAGATATACATAAGATAGAAAATAAGAATAGTTCAGAATCAAAAAGTAGGTGGGAGGTAGCATGACCAATAATATGAGCTATATTGTGAAGTTGACAAATGAAAGCAAATGAAATTGAAAATTTGGTTCCCTAACTTTAAGGGAAACTAACTTTTAATTTGTACCATTTCTTGTAGTTAGTGTTTTTATTATTTTGTCATTTTTAATGACCCCATTATTCCTTGTCTTCTTGTTTGTTAGATTGAGACAAGATTGGCACCGACCTCATCAATATTTTTGGCTTTGGTTTCTTGAGTCATCTATTGTTTTCTGTGTGACAGGAATCAAATGGTTGATTCTGAGGTAGAAATACAAGATTTTTGAACACCAACTGTTTGTCCTATTGACTCTTAGGGTTTAATTTAAGTATAAACTCCCAAAAATGGTAAGTTATTAAAGCATCTTGACTCCAAAGGGCTATTCCAGCATTTAACTTGGCCTTTTCTCAATATAACCTCTTGATTTTGATACCTATAATTGATTATTTGATAGTGTAGTTTCAACTTGCAACTTGCAAGAGCTTGTTGGTGTTTATATAGAAATTGGGATTTTTTCTAGAGAAGAGTCTTAAAGAGGGTGAACAATTATAGGATTGAAAAGGATAAGGATAGTGGTAGACAGAAAAGAAAACTTATGGAGGAAATAACTTCGACGGTTGCAGTGCCATTTCCACTTGGGAATTTAATACAGAAAGAGTCAGCAGTGACAACACAAATGGAAATATCTAGTTTAAAGCTTATGGCAAATACAGCAACTGTATTGATGTTAAATCCTGCTTCCGTCGAGGATTGTCAATCCTTTTCTGTTGGAAGTGAAGACGACGTCGACATGTATATTAGTCCACAACAAAACCAAATATCAGTGTCTTTCGAGGTTAAGGAGAATCAAGTTGGAGCTGAAGTTGTCTCTGAAATGGTTCATGAAAGTGACGGTAACGGAAGATATGAAGATGAGTTCAAGATACATGAGGATTTTCTGCGCATACATAATCCATCCTCTCAGTCTGCAATTTTGAGGACTAATTTGTCTGAAATGAACACACCGAATACCATGATGGTTGATGATGATATAAATGTTAAGTCTAGTTTGAATGAGTCGATGAAGAACGTGGCTTCTGTTGCGATGAACCACGAGAGTGAAGGTGGAAGTAATTCAGGTGGTCCTGATTCAAAGCCAATTGCTGTAGTTCATGCGACGCTAGAGAAGCAAACAAGTACAACAAGCTGTGATAATGGTTTGGAATTGAGTGAAACTCCTCTTTATGGTTTCTCATCAGTTATTGGAATGAGACAAGAGATGGAAGATGCTATTGTTATTAAGCCTCAACTTTTTCAAATACCTTCTATGATGCTAATGGAGGATCAAGTGAATGAAAACACAAAACACTCACTTGCACACGTTTTTGGTGTCTATGACGGACATGGAGGAAGTCAGGTATACCTTAAAATCCTTCCGTTCTTTTTTAATTGTCACTTTTGTAGAATTTTTTAATTCCTATTTACATGTCATTTTCAAAGTTCAATGCAACATTTATTATTGTTTTGTTAATAATATCCTTATCTCTTGAAACAACAACTGAAATTGAACGGAGAGAGTTGATTCATTGCATTTACCAATATTGTGATGGCTTCATAGGTCGCCAATTACTGCCAGAAACATCTTCATTCAGTTTTGGTTGAGGAGATAGAAGCTGCAGAATCCAGTTTATCTGAAAATAAAGAAAAAGACAATTGGCAGGATCGATGGAAGAAAGTACTAACCAATTGCTTTCAAAAAGTAGATGATAAGATTGTAGGAATTGATGCAGCTAATCGTGAAAGGAGCGGTAACGATGGCTCTGAGGCAAGTACTGAAGAAACTCTTGCTCCTGAGACTGTTGGATCCACTGCACTGGTTGCAATTTTAACTCAATCCCACATAATAGTTGCAAATTGTGGCGATTCACGAGCGGCTTTGTGTCGAGGAAAAGAAGCACTGCCACTGTCTACCGACCATAAAGTAAGGAATTTGTTTTTAGTTTCGCAGTTTGTGTGCTGGATTTAGAAGCTGAAGTGATCTGATTCAAGAAACTTTATTTCCTGTTTACAGCCAAATAGAGAGGGTGAGTGGGAAAGGATAGAAGCCGCCGGAGGAAAGATCATACAATGGAATGGATACCGAGTTCTCGGTGTTTTGGCAGTATCAAGGTCAATTGGTATGCGTTTATTGTATTGTTTCTGAATTATCAGTACACATTCATACAGTTACAAAGTTTATTATCAATTCTGTTTCATTATATTTAGAAACACATCGAAAAATTTCCCAGAAAACCTACGTATAATGCAACGAATCCGTAAATGTTGTCTCTTGATTACTTGTATAGATTTGGAAGAACGCCAAGTGCTTTTTCTTCATGTTCATCATCCATATTAAGTTTCTACTTTCTAGTCATCTTTGTCGAAATTTAATTTAGCTTCTTGTTCATCACCAGGTGATAAATACTTGAAACCATGGATAATTCCAGATCCAGAAGTCACAATTGCCCTCCGAGAGAAAAACGACGAATGTCTTATTCTAGCAAGTGATGGTTTATGGGACGTGATGACAAATGAAGAAGCATGCGAGATTGCTCGAAAGCGAATCCTTATTTGGCATAAGAAAAACGGAACCAATGCATCAACCATACAAATCGACGGAGTTAATCCTGCAGCTCAGTATGCTGCAGAGTATCTATCAAAACTTGCTCTTCAAAGAGGAAGCAAAGATAACATCTCAGTTATTGTTATAGACTTGAAGACTCAAAGACAAATCAAGAGAAAAGCATAAAATAGATTCTCTCATCAATTAAAATATTTATGGCTATACTATATTTTTTTCACAAGTATGGTGCAAATTTATTTAGCCCTTTAATTTTTTCATAAGGGCTATTTTTTTACTATATTTTTAATTATGTAAAATTTTTATGTTAGCTATAGTTTTAATTTTAAAGCAAGGTAAATGTATAAATGCATGTAATTTTCATTTTTTGAATTTGTATTATTGTATTTCAAAATTAATAGTTGAATTGAAGGTTGCAAATTTGCACATCCTACAATTACTTGTAGTTTAAGTAATGTCGAAATGGATTGCCTTATGATGAAAATTTCAATCTCAAGCAATATAATAAAAGCATTGATCATTCAAATAGAAAATTAGAATTCATTCATGTAATCTCTGAGCACGAAAACACGAACATCTGTTTCGTTTACAGTTTACACTTACAAACCATTGCCTCAGTACAAACGATACTCCGGGTTCACATTAAAGACTAACTCATTGTGTTCATATAGCGAACAAAATTCAAATTAGATTAACCTTTTACCTTTTAAGTTCACAGTCGGAACAAAAAAGTTTTATATCGTTGCAAGTGTAGACCCTGCATTGGAGAAATAGTCGGAAAGATCCACATCTAAGTCATCGTACATGTTCACAAAAGGATGCCTCTGAAATTTAGATCGAAAAATAAATACACTGTAAGAATTACTATTTACTAATTTAGTCTATTTTACATGACATATTTATATCAATAATACAGTAAGATGTATGCGTACCAATAGGTTTCGAGCCGATGGTCTGTCCCTTGGATTTTTCTGTAAACTGACACAGAAAAGATAGACAGAGGATCAGAAGCTTCATTATATAAACATAAACTTTATGACCAAGATTTCTGAGACTACGCAATTTTAGATACTAAAAGTATAGTAAATTTCTTACCATGCGGAGATAAATGAGCAAAATTCGGGTGAACATTCATCAGATGGAGCACTAGGTGAAGGGTTTTCGACAATGGCTTCGATAAGCTGAAACAAATTTTCCCATCCATCACTATTATCTGGTGGTGTATATGGAAACCTCCCAGTTGCACACTTAAGCAACATCAATCCCAAGCTCCATATATCACTTTTGTAATTGTAACCTTGTTGGCTTCCATCGATTCTTTCTGGCTGTAAAATCACGATGAATAAAAATCGTATTCAGGGAAACGGTATCACATATATGACCTATTTGGATTGAACTATTTAAGCATATCTACTTGCATAAACTCCTGAAAGAATTTTTGAAAGAGTTTATGAAAATAACTTATGACACGTCTTAAGCTGTTTTCAAACGTATGAAAACAACTTATAACTCATGAAAACACTTTGAATTTATTTTATCTTTTGTTATAGAAATAGCAATGCGTAAGCACTTATGTAATAAACACTTATGTTGGCGAGACGAAAAACCATAAATTTACTCACAGACATATAGTTGTATGTACCGATGAAAGTATTTGCTTGACCAGAAGTAGTTTCCAAGATTATACTGACACCGAAATCGGTAATCTTTACCTCCCCTCTATGATTTATAAGTATATTAGAAGGTTTCAAGTCCCTATGAATAATATGTTTCTCATGGTGAAGATACATCAAACCCTTTAGCACCTACATTTGGAACCAAAACAAAAAGACATGAAGTCTAGTTAGGCACGCGGAAAATCGAGTTATAGGTCTAAGGCCGAAGTACGTGAAACCGGACATTGAAATCGTCCGACTTCCTTACCTGCTTACAAATGGCAGCAAGAAACGGTTCTGGAATCGTTATAACTTTGTTCAATAGATCCTCTAAGGAGCCTCCGTCCATGTACTCTAAGATGATCGATATCGTGCCATTATCGTAGATTGATTGGTAACAAACAACAACATAAGGACATTGAGCTGATTGATTGATTTTTAGCTCTTGTGCTATTTGCCTGCAAGTAGAATCCTCAAGATTCATTTGAATTTGCTGATTGAAAAGAAAGCATTGTAAGTAACAAAAGAATAAAGTGAATCAAAACAAGTTATATATGAAGAAAGCTGCTAGTATAGATATACCTTTAATGCAAAAAACTGATTAGTCCATTTGTGTTGAACCAATTGAACTATCCCTCCATTTCCCTTTCCAATCACTTTGATTGTATCAATCTCTGCCAAACTTATCTGATTGTCTATTGGCTTGATTGGTGGTTGCTGAAATTAACACAGATATTAAACTCAAATACAAAATTATCACAATTCAACACGCAATTCGGTCTCAAATTATCACGACCAGAGACACGAACACCAGACACACCTTCAATTTGAAGTATCCGTGCTAATAATACCTATAGTCTTAGACAGAATCGTCATAAGTTTTTGAAGACCCTGTGTAGATAAGTCTCTATTCAACAAAAGAATTAAAGGCTCAATTTAACCACGGTTTAACAGTGACAAATATTTTATGAGATCCTATTTAGCTACGATTTAACTGTAACAAATTTTGGGCCCTATTCAGTAGTTCGCCTTGCACGCGCTCAAAGACGATCCTGATACTAAACTCAAGCCTCCGCAACTTCATTGTACCAAAAAACCACCATGGTTGCGCACCACAACCGATTATAACTATATAAAAAGGAAAATTTGCATGGAAATCTTTAAATTAAGTTATGTAAACTCAAATGCAGTCACTCATATGAGAAATTCTGATTAAAACATATTGCAGAGCTCCCAATCACTCAAAAATGAAAATATCCAATTAGGTCTATTTACATATTAGTTCATGAAAATATCCAATTAGGTCTATTTACATATTAGTTCATGAAAATATCCAATTAGGTCTATTTACATATTAGTTCATGAAAATGATTAGTGTCCAAATATAATACTACTCAATATCTTTGTCTTTTACTATAAGGAAGAAACACCAAATAACCCTTTAACAAAAATTCCTTTTTTATACTTTATTCTAGTTTGGAAACCTTAAAAAAAGTTACTTTTAAAAAATCCAAGAAACCCCTTATTCTCAAAGAAGGTAAAAAAACAAAATGAGAGAGAAATATTATACAGTTTCAACTTCACTCTGAGAGACAATTCTAACTCCATCCCTATTAACAAGCAAGTTTCCTTCTTTAAAAGTGCCACTTTGAGTCCTACAGAACAATTCCAATTAGAACAAAACAAAAGCAATTATTTATCAAGCACATTAACATAATTGATTATAACAAGAGATCACTCACAAGAACTTTGCAAAAGAAGCTTGATTAGATGCTGGAACAGTGAGTTTGAGATTTGGATCTAAACATCCTTTCTTCATGATTGTTTGGATCCTAAGCTCTAATGTTAGAGGTAGAAGAAAGACTATATTGTAAGATTGTAGAGAAGATATTTATGGGACTAACAATAGTATGTATAGATTATTTGTAGTATTTTATGTATAGAAAGTTGAAAGGTTTTATTTATTGTAGTTCAAAGGATTGTGGAACTAAAATAGTATTTGTAATAGATTAGTATGAAGAGTCAACCTTGACTATTGGAGAAAAAGGAGCAAGTTTGAAGACGAACAAGACTTTGTATTGACTTTTCAAATAGGTACCCTCCTAGTCTTACCAACTACACCCTTGGCTTTTTTCTTTTTGTTACCACGTGCAATGCAACTCTACAATATAATATTTCTCATGGTTACTTGGTAGAGGGAGAGGGAATATGAAAATAAAAGTTTAACACACCTAGACTTAATCAGAAATAGATTGGGTGAAATTTTATAAATATGAGTTGAATTGTATTTAAGTGTGACTCAATGAAATGACACACACACACACACACACACACACACACATATATATATATATATATATATATATATATATATATATATATATATATATATATATATATATATATATATATATATATATATATATATATATAAATGTTTATGGATTGTCCAGTTTTGAATAAGGGTGATCGTTGAATGAATATCATATGATTTAGAACGAAGAGGAGACATGCTCCTATGAAATGTTGTGTGAGAGAGATCCACCTGTGTAGTAGCACAACAAGCACCTTAAAGAGATTGAGCCTATATGTAAAGATGCTAAAAACACAAGGAAAGTTGGGGTTGAATTGTGTTAACTTTTTCTTTCTTTTTAAACTCTTAGGTCAGATTCTAAACACAAGGTTATAAAATCTGATTTAGTCAGATGTAGGCAGTGGATACAATATGAAGAAAGAAGAATAATACATAGAGTTATCTTAGTTTCTCTCATAACTTGAGAGTAATCCAGTCCCTTTGTACTTACAAGAGATTTTCAGTATAATCATACAAGATTACAATTTGCTTAAACACACAAGCAAGAGACTTCCTTTGTACAAACCGACAAGTAAAAAACTTCCTTTGCTCAAACACACAAGCAAAAGACTTCCTTTGCTCAAGCACACAAGTAAGAGACTTCATTTTCTCAAACACACAAGTAAGAGAATTCCTTTGCTCAAGCACACAAGAAAGAAACTTCCTTTACTTAAACACTTAGTAAGAGACTTTTATACTCAAGCACACAAGCAAGAGACTTCTTACAATCTATCTATCAGATAAATTATTGTTGGAAAAATACACTTGATATAAAATCAGAGGTGTACAAAGAATACAAAACAAATTGACTCTATAAGACTTAAGAATTTCTAAGATATACAAAGATAAGAAATTCTAAGTTTAGCTTGTGTTTTTCTTTGACAGAGTAACTTCTCTTTTGTTGTCTATCGTTGTTCATTAGCATAATTATCTCGAAGTCTTTTAGCTCTTTAAATAGAGAGAAAAATTCGTTGAAGATGCCACACAGTAAATTCTTTTGAGAAAATTCAAAAGAGACATTGAGATGTTTCACCAAATTGTCAGGTTAGTTGAAAGTTAGTTTGAAAATCTTTTGCTACAAAGGAATAAGCAGTTGATTCCTAGCAGAATTTATGAACAAGATAAAGATTAGGTCTTCATGTGACAAAGTATGTTCAAAGATAAACATTGACCTATCAAGATCACCTTGGTCCTTGTGCTTTGACTGACTCTGATTCTGATCATCTGAAACAGACTTCTCCAAAGTCTGATCTTCAAAGGCTGACTACCTCAGACTTTGATCTTCAAACGTTGGCCTCTTAAAAAGTTGACTTCTTCATAATCTAGTCTTCAGCTTCTGATCCATTCGATTTTCATCTTAAGTTTCTCTTTGAATGTTCAGAGTCAGAACTAATACTTGGATTCTATATGAAATTTTAGTCTATGGTCCTACACACTTGAACAAACATTATTATACTTAGTTATTCTTTAAATACTTTGTTATCATCAAAATCAGAGAGATATAGGACAAAATAATTTTGTTCCAACAGAGTGGGCTAATCTTCTGGGTTGTTGACCAACTTAGAACAATTGTTCCCCAAGTAGAGGCGAAAATAGGTCGGCCTAAGTTAGGTTGGCCAAGCCTAAGTTTGTCATGCAAAAAGTTCAAAACTTAAGTTTAACCTATAATTTGTCAAAGACTTGTTTTTAGGCTTAAACCTAACCTTTTTGAAGGTCTGGTTGGCCTGTTATCCTACTTAAAAACCTATTTTATTTCAGCATATAAAAATAAGAAATTTAACTAATGTTTAAATAGACTAACAAGCTAAAATATCAAAGAGATTAAAAGTTTATTTGTATTGACTTGTTTGAGCTTATCTAGTATCATAAATTTTGTGAGACTATTTGTTTGGGAGAACTTATGAAAATAACTCATGACATTGTTCATAAGGTGTTTCTAGCCTATTTTCATAACTTCTTCAAGATAACTAAGTTCATTTTTGTATTTTATTTCAAAATACAAAATACAATATAATAATATTAATAATATTAATAAAATTATTTATATTTATTTAAATAGGTATGTATGATAAGTTTAAAAAAAATTTATGGCTTCTGACCAATTTTTTTATTTAAAAATTAATAGGCTTATAAAAAACATAGATATTTTCTATTTTAAGAAAATCTAGTATGACCTAGACTTGCGTGTGTTAGGCATTAACCTCATATTACTTGGCATGACATATCCCAATCCCTACCCCTAAGTCTTTGTTGTTAGTCATGAAGTGAAGATTGTTGTTATAAGAGTATTTGAGGCCGACCCAAAAGTCTAAGTCGTGGCGAATCTTGCTCGTGGAGCGAATGCTCCTTGTAGAGTGAGACTAGTTGTCACGAGGAACTTGCATGTTATATGGAAATTATGGTGAAACATTTTTACGATAATGGTCTCCAAGTGTACCACATGCGTAGGGATTAAGGTGACATACATAGGCTCATTCAAGTGGGCTACTTCGAGGTGTGATATGAGGCATTTGATGAATCCCTTGGTCTCTTAATTGATCATGGTCGTTGAAGTCGATCGTTTCTATGCATGTAAAGTAGGAACTTGTGTTTCATTCACACCTTTCAAATTATCCTTATTTCTTCTTCTTAATAGAAACCTATGCTTGCTTCTTCTTCTTCTTCTTATTATTATTATTATTATTATTATTATTATTATTATTATTATTATTATTCAAAGAAACTCTTACTTGCTTTGTCTTTGTTGGTGGAGACTTTCAAATTCATGCTAACTGCAGTAAACCTAAGGTATTTCCTTTTTCTTCCTTTTAATTTCTTAGATTTTATCTAAGTTTAATCATGGAGAACTCAGGAAATACCTTTGTAGAAATCAACCCTTATGAACTTAGCGATGTCGCTTCTTCCACTAGGCCAATAGTGATCAACCTTGTTCTTAGTAATATGAAGCTTTATCCCACTTGCATTAACATGATTCAAATCATGGTGGGATTTAGACTTGGAAATGTGAACTTAGCCAATCCATCATTGTTGAGAATGTAACGGATGATCCTATAAATTGCAGTTGTTCATTAGGTGTTTTGAGCCCCAGTTCAAGTGTTGACTTAGTGTTGTAGCGATAATGTGGTTCTTAGAGGAATATACTAGGTGTATCGCACATGGTTGTCCTTTTTTTTGGTCTTTAAACAATGGCAAGGAAATGGGAGAAAACATCATCTTCGAATGTGGATTTCATGCTTACGTTGAAGACTATCTATGGGTGGATTAAAAAGTCATTACTACAAATATTACATTTTATGACAACGTTTGCACCTCATGTAATAAAACACCAAGGTATAATACCTTAACACGCCATAACTTTTTCTTTTTAAAATGAACAAACTATTCCATTAGTTTTCTAGAAAAACTGAGGGGGTAAACTAATTCAGGGCACATGCTTTGAATCCCAATAACTTCAATTTATATTTTTAATAAAAAATTATCCAATTTTCACCTTGATTTTGTTTGCTAACCGAGATGAAATTATTTACTCTGATATATATATATATATATATATATATATATATATATATATATATATATATATATATATATATATATATATATATATATATACACCAACTCATTAAAAAGCAACGAAATACGAATATGACATGTGTTTAGGGCTCTTCTTTTTTTCACATATCTGATATGCCTAACATCACTATTCATGTTATATTAACGTTGGTGTTATTGTTGCTGTTGTTGTCGAGACCCAAAACATTAGAGGTTTAATCTTGTTGTTGTTATTGTTTAAACTAAGATTAATGTTATGTGTTGTTGTTTTTGTTGAGATAAATATTTTATAGGTTTATCGAGATTGAAGTTATAGGTTTATTGTTACTGTACTTTTTGTTGAAAGATTGTTTTTTTTATAGTTGTTGTTTAATGTTAATTATTGTTTAGATTGAGAAAATGTTAATGTTGTTATTATTTATTTTTGTTTTTGATTTGTTGATGTTATTATTGTTGTTGTCTAGTTGTTATACTTAGAAAAGTTTTGAAATCTATATGTTTAGGGTTTAATTATTGTTTTGAGTTTAATTTTGAATGTGAGACTAAGATTATGTTTTTTTTGTAATTTTGTGTGCAACTCTTAACTTGTTCCTCTGGACATGTCTAGAGGATATTATAGTGACAGAAAATACAACTGAATTTATTATATCTATTAAATTGTTTTTGGAAATAATAATATGAAAAATTATGTTCTATTTGAAAACATCTAACACTAATCAATGTTTTTCGAGCATTTTTCAACTCGTTGTTCATCTCATGTTCTTTAATGGTTAAAATCTCTCCAACGCTTCTAGTTTTCGTTCAACTTTCTTTCATACTTGTTCATTGAAAACTATGAAAGAAACTTGAATGAAAATAAGAAACACTTGAGAGATTTTAACCACTAAAGAACGTGAGATGAATGTTGAGTTGCA